GGACCTTTACACTTAGTACTTCCAAAAATAAACGTATCCGTTGTTGTATTACAAATGCATACATGGTGACTATTATGCCGTTTTTAGGTTGATAAACAACAGTGTGAAATTGATGTTCACTATATTTAATAATCAATATTTCTTTAAAAAAATCGTAAATCATTGAAGAATTCGAGAAGAACACGACAATATATAATAACAACCACTAAATTCTAATAGAAATAATAATTTCTTTTTGACACTTTTTCTACGCTTTCAGCCATTTTGTACCCGCCATTTTGAATTTTGCAAATTTGATATCAAGTTCCTAATCAACATACCAAAAAACCCCTAGTACCTGATTTTCATGATTTTTTTCTTAGTTAATTTCATAGGTACATCATTTGACAACTGATTTTGCAGGTCTTTGTTATTAATAAACAAATAAAAAGTTAGCATATAATACCAACCGGTAGACTATATTAGAACATGTTTCAGATTTTATGCATCTTTATGGAAATTATTCCTAGACAATGCTTCTTTTTTGACTCTGTTATAAAAAGAAATATTTCGATGTTTCAGTTTGGAAAACTGTTGTGTCAGATCAAAAGGAAATTTACTAGGGTATAAAACCGAAAAGAATCACGCGTCACGTCACACGTGAATTTAAGAGTGAATATATTAGATACACAAGTACATCTAACAGATAAATAACTTTTATAATTTAAGATTCAATTCTGCCTATTAACTAATAGAAGAATTCATTTAATTTTTTTTTAAAAGTACTACTTTAATATACAATGTAAAGAAGTTTCACTTCTTAAGCCTGTACACTAACACACGCATGCCCGTTTTTATGAATACGTTAATATTTTTGATAAATCGATATGACAAATACATTATTGTAATTGGTATTATCCCATTTATTTCTATTATATTTACCTGTCTGACTTTTTCGCCTTCTTCTTAGCCTTTTTAGGAGGTGGCTCCCTATCTCCTAGCAAATTTTTGTCACACCTGTAGCTTAGATGACCTTCTGCTCCACATTCATAGCAAAAACTCTTATCTGGATAAACCTGGAATCAAAAATGGGCATACTGTATTCTACTATACGCTCTTAAGTTTAAAATGTTCACTTAGAAATTATATTAAGGATCAATGTCAAATATAATGCGGATGAAACGCACACGGATTCTGTTTGGTAATTACATTAGACATACTTAACACAACATTAATCATGAAAAACATTACCCTTGATAATACAATTGTTGTTACCTTTATATTTTATTGTTGATGTGAAATACCTATTTTTTTGGTAATGTATACTAGGTGTGTGGCCAGCGTGCGAGTATTCACAGAAAATGACTCTAAATAGGAATAACTTCGGGTTGTATAGGGTTGTTCGGAAAGTCATTTCGTTTTTTTCCGACAGAGGATTTAATTGTATTCTTTTGCACCCAAGTTCACATTTAAGCCGTATAATTTTTATATGCTTTGAGAGCTCATATAGCAAGGCTTGTGTGTGAAAAATTCCAATTAATTCTACGCAGTAGTTTTTGGTTGGTGCCCTTTTAAATATGGAGAGCGATAAGCAGCATTTTCGACATATCTTACTGTTTTACTACAGAAAGGGTAAAAATGCTGTTCAAGCCAGAAAGAAATTGACTGATGTGTATGGAGAAGGTGTGTTGACAGTACGCCAGTGCCAGAACTGGTTCGCTAAATTTCGATCCGGCAATTTTGATGTCGAAGATGCACCACGTTCGGGAAGGCCGGTTGAAGCTGATAAAGACGCGATAAAGGCATTAGTTGATGTGAACCGGCGAATAACAACACGTGAGATCGGATTGAGGTTAAATTTATCAAATTCAACAGTTTATGACCACTTGAAAGGCCTGGGATTATCCTCGAAGCTCGATGTATGGGTTCCCCATGTTCTCACAGAGAGAAATCTGTGTCGCCGCATTGACGTCTGCGATTCGCTTCTCAAACGTCACGAAAATGATCCGTTTTTGAAGCGCATCATCACTGGGGACGAAAAATGGGTTGTATACAACAACGTCAAACGCAAGAGGTCATGGAGCAAAAAAGATGAACCGGCTCAAACCATTTCCAAAGCCGATATTCACCAAAAAAAGGTGATGCTGTCTGTTTGGTGGGATTTTAAAGGAATCGTTTTTTTTGAGCTTTTACCGGATAACACAACGATTAATTCGGAAGTCTACTGTCATCAGCTGGACAAACTGAATGATGCACTTCAACAGAAAAGGTCAGAACTAATCAACAGGAAAGGTGTAGTGTTTCACCAAGACAACGCGAGACCTCACACAAGTTTGGTCACTCGCCAAAAGCTTTTACAGCTTGAATGGGATACAATGCTACACCCACCATATTCTCCAGACCTGGCACCATCGGATTATTATTTGTTCCGGTCACTCCAAAATTTTTTAGACGGTAAAACCTTCACCTCAAATGAGGAGGTCAAAAACCTCCTCGATCAGTTTTTTGCCAGCAAAGACCAAAAATTTTATGAGCGTGGAATTATGCTACTACCAGAAAGATGGCAAAAGGTGTTGGACCAGAACGGTCAATATATAATTTAATAAAGTATTTGTTTATTATACGAAAACTGTCTTTCATTTCCACAAAAAAAAAACGAAATGACTTTCCGAACAACCCTATAGTTTGATTTAGCCGTCTAGTTTGTTTTTTAAATTTCTACAAGCAAATTTGACTGTAAATAACACCCTATGCAAAAATACAAATACACTCGTGGCTGAAAATACAAATGATACGGGTGCAGCAACTATCCCTTTAAAATTTTTTACACTTGTCACATGAGAAAAGTCAGCGTTTCCTGTTATTTCGCGTGAACTATTTTGGGGATTGTCTTCATATTTAAAATTGAGGATTTCGTCCCTACAGCGTCATAAGAATTTTGACACCAAACCCAATCAACTGCAAATGTCAGCTGATTGTAGGAAAATTCTCCGTAAGTTGGTGGGAATCAGTTGCTTTTTTTTTGTAATATTATTGTTAACGTTTGGTAATTGTGCATTGAAATTTACAGTTATAAATTACGTGTCAAATAAAAACCATTGATTTCTTACATGGCATTTACATAACGTTAGAGCGTATGCTCCCATGTTCCATGTGAAGTTGACCTAATATAGCCCCATGACGACGATTATTATGTTGTTTTCAATAGAATAAATATATAAAGGCTACGGAATATTTAGAAGTGGTTCACAAAGAAGTCTGGCCACCCAGTATTCTGCATAACTTTAGGAAAACCACTTTAACACTTATCATGTGTTAGGATTGTAAAGCTCGTACTATATAATACTAGTAGTTTTATTAACTTTAATTTCCAATAACCAATCATGAACATGCACCTATATATAATAATTGCATTTCCTCGTACTTTCTTCCTAAACACCAATCATGAAGATCGAAGGTGACATGACAAGATGCGAGCACTAGAAATCATATAAAATGGGCGAATGAACACGAGAGAAATCAGAAAAGCTTCCTCTCAGACTATTACTTTGCTGCAAAGCTACCCAATTTAGCTGTAAAGATACCCAAATCTAGCTACAAAGCTACCCAATGTTTCCCGCCAGATTTTCAGAACTACGTTCATTATGAGCCGGTGCAGCCTCCTACAGAAGACGCCACCGAACAACAGCACCACCGTCGCGCCATCGTCCCCCGGTGCCGCACAACATCCCAGTAATTGAAGTCCCTCGGAACCCCGCACCGACAACAGTAGTACCATCGATCGCCACTCGTCCTCCACCGCCCACACTAGCAAATCCACTGCCTCAGCAAAAACCTCGACCCCAGAACACTCGATGTCTTTTACAGGAATTGTTTGGCTCCTGTTCGAACAGTGATTGAAAACAAAACTAATTGTGCGATTTTTTCATTTATTAACTCATTCCTACCCAGGGCAAGCGGGCCGTTTGCGACCCATCTACGAAAAAAAAAAAAATGTACCTCGCCGTTTTTCGTTTTGCACGGGGTAGTAATGAATCGATTGTATATGGTAGGCTTACCGGTAGCGCTCTGATGTGATTTTAGTACATTTTCCGCCACTGACCAGTAGCAGCACCTAATTGATTTTGAAGATGGCAGAGGCGACTTTGCGCTCTCGTCAGTAGTAAGTAAAAAAGCCAAGTGTTAAAATAATGTATTTTATATGTATCTGTCATAAAAGAATATCGGCTGAGTCAGGAAAATCGTTTATATAATTTTTGGTTTGTGATATATTAGTGACAAAAGATAGGGTGGGTTGGGAAAAAACCGCCCGACAATTTTGATACTTGATTCGTCGCAGGTTGCGATTTTTTAACACTATCAAACTATCATAGAAAACGAACGTTGAATAGGTTTTTAGATAAAATAAAGCAAATAGTAATTACAATTTTGTTGATTATCGCAACTAAAATATCATGTTTGCCCATATTACGGGCGACAGAAATTGACAACCGCCGCAATTTTGGCCGAAGAGCTTAATAAAATGTTGTAATTAGTTCTTTTCTTCTTTACATAAAATACCATTTTAATTAAAATTTTTATATGCTTACCGAAAGCTTACCTTTGGCATGTAGATTAAGAATACACATATCTGTTTTAGAAGCTGTCTCTAAATTGCACTTTCACTGCAAAATCAAGCTGTCACATAAAAAAAGACGTAAAAAACACTTTCTTGTTGAAATAAGCGGATTTTTTCGTTTGTTAGGTACGAAACAATGCCTTAACCATCCGTTTCACATGTATTACACTGTGTTGGGATTCGCTTCCAGCGGGTCGTTTACGACCCACGTCATAATTTCAAGTGTTTGAACATTTTTTGAGTATTTTGACATATATGAACAAGTTCAAAAGACAAAAACAAAAAATTGGAAAAAAACAAATTCTAGGGAATGGGTTACTTAACTTCATTTTGGTTTTATTGTTATTATTCGCATTTATGTTATGTTCTTATTTATTCATAAATAGTAGTTCGTACGGTAATTAAATGTTTGGTCAGTGTTCGGCCATTCATCTAATAATACCGTTCATCACGAATCAATAAACGAAAACGGTTATAAGTAACAATACATTGCCAAGTGAAAATTGGCAAGGGCAAACCAAGAATGTTCATTCGGAGGATTCTTAGTGCAAACAAGTATAAAGTTATTCAGTTATCGAAAAAGAATGTCTCGCAATGACTTGGGCTAGGAATATGTCAAAACAAAATTTGTGCATCGATTTATAAAATCAAAATCACTATGTATTAACGAATTTATACTGAAATTTTGAAATTACTGTTGTAACAAGTTGACTAAAGCAGATTGAAAATTAATAATTTGAAACCACTAAACTTGCATTTTGGTCAAATTGTAGGCAACAATACAATTGAAGTTTTTGATGAAAACTTGTACCATCAATACACAGTGAACAGCCGATATAGATGTGAAGTATTAGCTCAAAACAAACCGAAAATAAAGGAAAACAAGTTAATCGTCAGAACATCGACAGATGAATTTCCACTGGTTCACGAAAACATCTTTGTCTAGCTGGTAACACAAAGTCAACATATCGTATTTAAACAATACCAAAATTAGGTGTTAATTAGGTGCTGAGATTAAAAATTAAGTGCTTTTTAACTTACACTGCAACGTAATACTCATTTAAGCATATGAAGCTAAAAGCTGACATATTATCAAATTGATATGGCTTAATTTGGCCTGATATGACCAATTTCCTTATCAAGTCATAACAGGAAACATGAAACATACACATGGGCATACCAAACCATAACAGGTCAGACATAGACTACCATGACGCTATGTCAGCAACACAAATTTGAGTGTAGTACCTAATTAGCACCTAAACAACTAGTATCCGACCGAAAGAGGATTTGCTACCGAAACCGTAACCGAAATCGAATCTTCGGTATCTGTTTCAGTTTCGGCCGAAACCGAAACTGTTTCAGGCATGTTAACAATCTATTGTTTACTGAAATTTGGCTTATATACACTTATACAGATAGTTTAAGCGTGTTAAATAAAATAAAAAAACAATAATT